GCAAAACTCGAAACGCACTTACGGCTGACCAATGGCTGCCCAACCTGGTCTGCTGGCCTACTAGCGCTCCTGAGGCGCACCTACTCCGTGTACGGGCAGGCCTTCTACAATATTTCGGTGCTGGACTTTGCGCAACAGGCCATCAGCAGTGGAGACTTTGTGGAGCTCTTAAAACCCTACCCTGAGCTGCACGAGGGCAGCAAATTCCCGGATCTCTGTGAGCTGCGAGTCAGTCTCTATCTCTGTGCGCCAACCTGTCAGAATGGCCTGCTCTCTGGGCTGGGTTTCCGTCTGCCAAAAACGGCCCAGCGGGTTGAGGATAAGAATGGGAAAGAGGATGAGAAGGACGCGGAAGGGGAAAAGGTGGGACCCCACAATAGAGGAGAACACCAGGATGGTGGGGAAAAGGAAGACGAACGGATGCGGGCAAACAACGGGGCGCGGAGCGAAGCGGCTGAGTCTCCGGTGATGATGAATATGGTGGTGAGGTTACTTTAAAGTTATTTGGTTAGTTCTTAGTTAAGCTGACTTTAATTAAGCTTGAATTTGTTAAGTTACCTTAGTTTTACTTCAGATTGTTATTTATTTTTAGATATATTGGTGAAATTCACTTTTTATTTAAGTTTTCACTTCACAAAATTTTACTCGCGGAAATTCGTAGTTGTTTATGTTGTTCCGAAAATATGACCAGTTCCCAAGATTTGCGTTGTTGAATATTTTATCTATGGCAGGCTTCTTGCCTAACCTTAGGCTATGTAAATAATTATTGCTTTTTTTATTCTGTAATACGCTCTACTTTTTAAATTATTCTTCTCGCTCAACCCATTAAACCTTTTTACCACCTGTCCCATATGGAAGACTGATAGGATTTTCGCGTGCTGAACTGGAACCTAAATTTAATTTTTACCGAATCCGTATTACGCTGCCTTTCCACAAGGTCGATTCTATTCGGTCTCGAAGACAAGGGCTTATGTGCGAGTTTTTTATTGCAGAAGATGACGGAGGCAGGGGAAAGGAAGACGAATTTCATTCAATTTGATTCGAAGGTTTTTTCGTTGTCTCAGTAGCTCTGCAAAGATATGGCTAGATGACTAGAAATAGCCAAATCTAATATTCAACATGTTACCATTCAGAACATTATTTTGCATGATAGTCAGCAACGCTGACTGTCGTAATGCAGAGTCCAGAGTTGTGTCAAGCAGGTTCTGTGTGGCACTTGCCTTTAACGTGTACCAATCATGCAGCGCAGGACCCCATTTAACTAGTGCATATTTTTTCTATTGAATTTAAAATGTTGTGTGAAGTTACTCATGTAAGACTTGCGAGGGCTACACCAGGGTTCCTAGCTTTCAATTATTTTAATAGTAAACTTTAAATTTCGCACAAGAATTTGCATTCTTACGGATCAGAATGTTAACTGAAACCCTTTACGACCTTTCCCCCAATGGTTACAGGTATTTAGCCGAAGGTAAGTGATCTTGTGGAAAGGCCTCGTTATACCACTTCGGAGCTTAGAATTTCCGACAGAGCTGGGGCGGGATACTCCCTTGTGGTAGTATGCTAGTGTTATCCGTCATTTTGACTTGGTCTCACGTTATGAGGTCCTTCGTTCATACAATATAGTCCCCTGACCTAAAGTCACATCAAAGACCACCAATCCAGCTGCGGAAGTCCTCTGTGCTAAGTTCGCGTTATCTGCCACCAGTTAAGCTGCCAGAGTCCGACTGAGTCTCCTTCTTTCACCAGCACAAGGAACCGTAATTGTTCCGCCCCCACCCGTTCGCATTTTGTTTTATTGAGTTAAAGTATGCTTTTTTGTAAACTTACCACAGTTCTGAATAACACACGGGGATAACTTTGTGCCTCAGTTGACAAGATCTTTGTTTGCGCGGGTTCTTGCGATTGAGCCGCAATTTTTTTCTTCCTTTCATGTGCTTATCGTTTTTCCGATATATACATCGTTTGACATAGCACGCTTCGTATCGTATACTGACTTGACTCATCTTCTCACACACCAATTGCCTATCCCTTATGTCAAGCCAAAAGAAGTTATGTAAAATTCACTTTCCCTTATTTTCATTTAGTCTGACGACGCGTTGGTGCCACCAGTTCAAACATTCCCTAGAATATCTTCATTTTTTTCGAAAAATCCCTTCCGTTTTTTATTATATCGTTCGGAATGTACACAGTCACTGACCAACAGCGTATTTAAATTTTGGTAGGCAGGCATTCCAAGAGGTATAATTTAAAGGTAAGTACATCCTTTGGGAAAACCAAGTAAATTTCTCGTGTCCACATTCGAAGACTACATTACGCATCCAGCTTTTTCACCCCAGGGATAGGGTTGGCTATCTAGACAAAAAACAATCGTCTACAGGGTCCCATGCAAAGCATGCCATACCGTATATTGTGGCCTAACAAGTAAGTCCGTCTCCACACACATCCACGAGTACTACCTGGTAGTGAAGAGGCATGACTGTCTGTCCCAGGTGTCCAGCTTTGAAACAGGACACACATTTACATGGGACAAAACTCGAATCATCGAAGTGTACTCATTCAAAAAATGTACGCTCAACTACGAACTTTTTGCCGGCTTCATCCACAGTGCTTAAAATTCGCGCCGGTAGTTAGGCTTACCGACGTATCATAGTGGTTTTTTTTAGCAAAGAGGGATAATCAATAATTTACCCATTTGATTGGGAAAGGTAATCCAAATGTTGGTCTAAATAAC